CCCCCCAATCTCTCTGATCTGCTACAACCGTATGTCCCACCACGTTCCCTGAGGTCAGCGGACCAGTTGCTCCCCACAGTTCCAGGAACTCGTCTTAAGCGCATAGGGGACAGGGCCTTCTCTGTAGCAGGACCAAGACTTTGAAACGAGTTACCTCTGCTTGTCAGACAGGCCCCCTCCCTCTCGGTTTTCAAGTCCCGTTTAAAAACCCACTACTATTCGGTAGCTTTCAACACCAGATGATCTATGTTTTGAACCTGTATGCTCCACACTGGTTAGTCGTCATTATCTGCATCGTTGTTATGTCTATATTTCTGATTTACTTCATTTTGTATTTTGCTTTGTGTGTTGTCTGTTGTTCTGTCTGTACAGCACTTTGATTGGCCTTGTCGCTGTTTTAAGTGCTCTATAAATAAAATGGTATGGTATGGTACACGATTGTTAAGTTTCAGGGAAGGGTCCATTATCACTCCCAGATTAGTGACTCTTTGTTTTTCTGACAGGGATAGAGTGGAAAGGTCAATGCACTGGTTTGTGATTGTGTCATTGGGAGGGAACAACATGACTTCAGACTTCTTTTCATTGAAACTTAAGAAGTTTAAAGCCATCCAGTCCCTGATGTCAGCCAGGCAGTCGAGCAGAGGTTGAATAGAGCATGTACCATTGTGTCTTAAGGGAAAGTAAATTTGACAGTCGTCAGCGTAGAAGTGAAAAGGTATGTTGTGTTTCCGGAAAATAGCACCAAGTGGTAGCAGGTATAGAGAGAATAAGAGGGGCCCAGGATGGACCCCTGCGGAACCCCCATTTAAGCTCTGTTGCTGCAGAATCCTTGATGGAGACACAAAAAGATCTGTCAGCGAGGTAGGATCTGAACCAATCGAGGGCTGACCCTGATGAAACAATGGTCTCTTTTGATGTCACATCACTACGTTACGTTACGTATTGCATACGGACGCATTACGTGCATTCCTGTTTATGATGCAGTAGAAGTGGTCTGTTTAAGATTAAATTAGACACCACACTGAGCAGCATGACCACACTTTCCACAGAACAACTGTGTCAACTCTTGAAACTGTGCCTGCAGTCAACCAAATGTCCTCTATCAGAGACTGAGACCTCACAATCCAAGAAAGCCAACCTGCCATTTTTTACATCTTCTCATGTGAACTTGATGTATTTATCTACAGAGTTTATGTGGTCAGTAAAGTGTTGGACTTCCTGAGATTTAATTTTAACCCAGGTGTCGTAAACATACCTGAACCAAGGACTTGGTGGTGTCCCTGAAAAGGACGTCAAGGCTCTCTTTTCTACCTCCTCCATGTACAGATTGGCCACAACAGGAGAAACTGGAGACCCCATAGCACACCCATGTTTCTGCCTATAATATTGCTCCCCATATGTGAAGTAGGTTGACTGCAGGCACAGTTTCAAGAGTTGACACAGTTGTTCTGTGGAAAGCGTGGTCCTGCTGCTCAGAGTGGTGTCTGATTTTAATTTTCAACTGACCACCTCTACTGCATCATCAACAGGAATGCACGTAAAGAGTGATGTGATATCAAAAGAGAACATTGTTTCATCAGTCTCCATGATGACATCCCTCACCTTATCCACAAAGTTTATGGTGTTCTGAGCTGCCACCTAAAGGGATGAGTACAGACGCCAAATATTTAGAAACATTGTAAGTGACAGAGTTAATCATACTAACAATTGGTCTTAAAGGTACACCTTGTTTGTGGATTTTAGGTAAACCATACAGACTAGGTGTGGCCTCCCCTGGGTACAGTCTGTGGTATAGAATATGGTCAATAGCCTTGTCCTGCTCCAAAATTTTCAGACAGTCTGTCAACTTCTTCTTCAAATTCTTCTTGACTGATGAAGCCTTCTGGATGGAAGGTGAAACGTTTCAGCACAAAAAAAAGAAACTGTCCAGATGACCTGGCTGAAAAATGTTAAATTATATACCTGGATTATTGAGCATGGACTTTGTTGTTTTGAACCAGTTTGACATGACTGTTGACGAGGAAGAGGGCCGGCAACGGAGGAGGGGGCATGCCAAAGAGACCATCTTAGCACCAATATAACTGGTTTGTTCCACTTTGGAGTAAACTGTTAAGGGAAGAATCAGTTTTGTGTTGTGTGTTTCCTTGACTGATGAAGCCTTCCGGATGGAAGGTGAAACGTTTCAGCACCAAAAAAAAGAAACTGTCCAGTTGACCTGACTGAAAGATGTTTCTAAACATTTTTTGCAGGCCCCCAGCTTCTTGACAGCTTCCCTCTTTTCTGACAGCTTGAGCGTATGAAACTTTTGGCAGAAATACAGCTTTTTCTTTTGCTTTCTGTCTCCACAGCCCACACATCCTTGAGACATGTTTGTTGGTTGGGTAGAAGTTCTGGTCCGGGCTTGCCATTGTTCAGACCTTGGTTTTGACTCCTCCTCTTTCAGTTGATACAGCTTTTCATAGATGGCTTCTTGACCTTTAAGAAATGTCAGGAGGTAGTCAAATCGTTCGTCTTGTTCATCCTCATTCCCTTTGCTGGCTGCATGGAGAAACCATTGCTTTTTCAGGTCATCTGGAAGTTTACTCTCTTTTGCTTTTGTTATAAGGGGGTTCTTTATAGCACCGGTTGTGCCAAGTTCTTTAAGGTCAATCAGAGTCTTTTCTACAGTTTGGATTAACTCAACGATCTTCTTGGGCTGGTTGCCTCTTACTGGTGGAACCTTTTGGAGCTCCTCCATTATCTCAAGGGCAATAGTTGTTTTATTTCCAAAGCGGTTCTCCAGGACCCGGAATATCTCATCAGCTGTTGTATAATTTGTGAGACAATGGTCTCGTACTATTCTCTCATCCACACTGTCAAGTTGATGATTTTTTTCAAATCTTTTTGGATCCAGTAGGTTCTCCCTGCATCTGAAGCGCTTCCCAATCTTTTTTCCACTGATGAAACTCTCTGCAGATGCCAGTGAACTTTGGGAGAGAAGCGGGCTTTAATTTAATGGCTGGTGCAGCCGGGAAGCTCATTGAAGTACTTAATCTGTTGGTCCCTTCTTTAGTTTGCACTTCAATAACTTCTGCTTTTCTTAATGCCAGTCTTGGTAAGATAGTTTTGAGGCCTCTGATCCAACTCTGTAAATAATGTGGTGGAGGGGGGGAGTCAGACGCACATCTAAGCCGTGCGCTGCTTGTACCGACAGTTTTCGAGTGGCAGGGGTGCGTTCAGCGTGAGGGTTCACCATGAAGGAAGAGGCTGCCTTTAGCTTTTTAACTAGTACACCTGCATTGCGAGTTGCTAGTTTAGTGTTACGTCAGTGCAGACAGATGGTTGGGGGTTGAGTATGGGGTTCGGTAGACGGGGCGGGGTGCCCCGCTTGTATAATGGTACTGACTTGCTTAAATTAACACAAAATAAACACATTGTGACATAATTTAGCATTGTTTAACCAAATAAATTAGCATATTTTACCAAAAAGTTTGTTCAATATATTGTTATATTCAAAAGTATTTTAGTAAATATTTATATATCACATCGATAAATAAATAAACATGTAAATTGGGATAATTTCAACAACTCAATTTTAAATACATTTTTTAGTTAAATATATTTCCTAGACAAATCACCTAGTGTTTTTACCAAATACTATATCTCTACTAAACCATAAACTTACTCCAAGTGTAATTATTTTTTTTATATTTTTTTTGTCTTTATACCCAACTCATTTGATTACAATACTCAACCACATGAAACATTAAAACTGTTCAATACCACAATCAGAGTCTCTAGTAAGAGTCCGTGCACTACTCTGGTAAATTTAACAAACAATCAACAGCAATATGGCGCTTATCGGCTGTCCTTCTTGGATTGTAGTAGACTTTCTCTTTGCACAGTTTTGATTTCAGATGTGCTACAAGCACTGCTTAGCCCTCATGCTGCAGTGTCAGTCCAAACAAGAGTGACAGATCTGTCACTTCAGAAATATCTGCACGCTTTGATTGCCTGGTAGACTGGTTCCACCTGGTCCTCCTCACTGATCAGCAGAGAGGAGTGGCAGGGAGGAGCTGCAGCCAGATAGTTTGCCAGAACAACATGTGCTTACATACATGTATAAGTACATACATACATGTACGTATAAGTACAGGTACCAACAGTCACAAATGTTTTAAGGCCAAAAATCATCATAAACTTTTCGATATTTAAAAGAAAGTGGTTTTTAATAAAACGTGCACGAACTTTGCAGGTTTGAGCTACTTTTTGTCTTTTTCCTCTCTGTAGGTGAAATCCAAACAAAAGGTCTGGTGGTTCCGATGACCAAAGATGTGTACGGGCCGGCGCTGGCCCGGCTGAAGGATGAAGGCCTGAACATCATGATGAAGAGCACTCTGCAGGACTGAGAGCTCAGCTTTTAGACCTCGAGTCACTTTCAGTCACAGATGTCCATTTCTGTCCCGTCCAGCAGCAACTGTTGCTTTTCCCTGCTCTCTTCTGTACACCTGGCCTCGACTGCATTACTTTGATTTACCTGCCTGATAAATTCCATTTAGACCTTCATGCAAGAGTTCTGAAAGATGAGATGTTAGAAACATAACTCTGTAAGTGCCCACACATTGGTTGGATTGTTGCTTCAATAGGTCACCTGCTGATGACCACCTGTCCATGGTCATAACTTCGGTTTTTATACCAAGTTTAAAACAGTTACCTCAGTTTAGAAATGTTTTTTTAAAGAAGCTTCAGACTCGCTGTAAAAATCAAGTTTACACTTTAAGATGTGAAAGCATGAAAACTGTAAAGGTTTAGTAAAAAGCAGGTAAGACGTTTACAGAACAGATGGTGGATCTCTGACAAACGCCATATTGGTGTTGGTTCTGGTGACTTGTTCAGACTCCTGCCATGTTCAGTGGTTATCAGGAATGAGTGAATGAATCTGTTACATGTTTCCTCTTCTTTCTGTTCACTTTATAATCCTGCTCTCAAAGGGATCTGGGTTCATAGTACACGTTCTGTTACATTTTGGATCAAGAGCCTAAAACTAAAACACAAAAGCTAAAAACAGTAATATGTTTGTCATATACTCAACTCAGGGTGATACTCTGAGTACCATGGATCATGTTTGTGCTGTTTGAGGTGTATGTAATAAAAGGGGTGCACAAATTTCCTTTCAATCCTTTCAGTTTGTGACACTTCAAACAGGAGGACTGAGCCGTGGACTGAACCAATCGGTTCCTCTGGCTTTTAATGGGACCACTGATTTACAGCAGAGCTTGTTTTCTCGACTCGTCTCTACAGACTCGTCTCTGAGCTCCATGGATCAAGGACTCTTATTTCTCAAATCAAGGTTTATTTAATTTAAAAAAGCTTTAAGGTTGTTTTCACAGCTGATAGTCCGGTAGACTTGGTTCGGTTGGGGACCAATAATCATGACATTTTGTTACATTTGAGCTGGTGCGTTTGCATTCACACTGCACTGTGCAGTCGAGTCAACCTGTTGAACCATCCTGTTCCCCCACTCGCCTGTGGGGGCGCTGCACCAAGAACTACTGAAAGAAACGACACAAAAACCTCTGAAGACACGTCTTCTTCTTCTGGAAATAAAAACAAAAACAAAGTGGCATCAAGTTTTAGCAGTTTTAGGAGTTATATTTTGTCATTTTTCAAAAATTGACTCAGCATGAGCAGAAGATGAGACAGAAGACCATGGAGAATGTTGTTTTTCACACAAGGCAGCTGACGGCTCCATATAAGGTAAGAGAAATGTGTGTTTGATTGTCCTGCGCTGTACTCTACTTCCTGCTTGTGGAGCGGGATCCGGTCTGTTTACATTCACACTGTACTGGAACCGCGCTGGAGTTCTCTTCTACCGGACCGAGACCTAGGTTTTAGCCCGAGTCAGAGTTTGCCTTTTTGTTCCATAACAGAGTTCGATGGTGCGTTCACACCTTCCCAAACGAACTGGACTTTCTAGGAAAACGAGCTAGAGTTCAATTAAAGCGGACTAAACAGGGCTGGTGTGAATACACCTTAACAGTCAACGCTCGAGAACGTCACCTTTTTCTCCTTTCTGTGGGCTTGATGGATTTATTTAAAAACACGGGAGAACTCATCTTTTCGGCCTGGCACTTTGCCAACTGTCTGTATTCAGATTATTTTATTACTTTTATTTTACCTTGATTTATTTAACGTGTGTGTCTTCGATGTGATTCTTATCTATCTTTATCTACAGAAATAAAATAAAAAATACTTGTTTTGGCTGAAAAATCCTTGTGTGAGTCCGATGGAAGCAAAAGCTTTTGATTCTCTTCTGACACATGGAAATAACCAGGTAAAGAACCAAGATCAACTCGGTCCACAAAATATTTATTATTGCTATTATTATTCTATTACAGAAACTTGAATATGATATTGGGATTACAGGAACGGCTCTAAATTGGTTTAAATCATATTTATCTGAAAAATTCAAATTTGTAAATGTTAATAATGAATCTTCTTACACCAAAGTTATTCATGGAGTTCCTCAGGGTTCAGTGCTTGGACCAGTACTCTACCTTGTATATGCTTCCATTAGGTAATGTTACTGGGATAAATGGGATGGCGTTGGATAAATTTTCATTGTTATGCTGATGATGCACAGTTATATTATATATATAGTGTCAACCCCACCTGAGTTTGTTTACATCTGTCACTCCCGCAACTCGGGGACGGGCGGTGGTCTCGCGATAATTCATCGGAAGCACTGGAAAGTCCTCCTTGTCTCTGCCCCCCTCTTCCACTCATTTGAATACACTGCATCTCAGCTCCCTGGATCTACTCCTACTATTTTATGTACTGTTTATCGACCACCGAAGCCAAATAAGGATTTTTTGTATGACTTTGCTGCTCTTCTCACTCATCTTTCTGTTCTCTCTCCCAATATGATTATTGTTGGTGACTTTAATATTCACATGGACAATGACAATAACCTTCTCACCAGAGATTTGACTTCCTGTCTGGATAGTTTTGGACTTCAGCAATACATCAAATTCCCTACTCATTCTAAAGGTCATATTCTGGATTTGGTTTATTGTTCTGGGGTCACCCCTACTCACTGCAAAGCCAATCTGTTTCCCACTTCTGATCATATGCTTGTTTATTTTGATGTAAATATAATAGCTTTGAAAACCTGTACTCCTTGTGACATTACATTTAGGAAAATTAATGATATTGATCCTGACATTTTCTCATCTGCTATATATGACCTTCCATCTATTCACTGCTCTTCAAGCCCTGATGAACTCACTTCCTACTATAATGTCGACCTCCAAAACCTTCTTAACACATTTGCTCCACTCAAACACAGATCTGTTTCAGTTTCTCGCTCAGTGCCATGGTTTACGTTCAACCTGCGTCTTCTCAAAGCCAAGGGACGCCAACTGGAACGCCTGTTCAAAAAAACTGGACTCACTATACACAAAGAAATGTATAACGATCATATTTTGTTTCATAAGGACTGCATTATCTCAGCTAAATCTGCATACTACTCTGGTTTAATCAGTTCTAATGAAGGTAACTCCAAGTCTCTGTTTTCACTGTTTTTCCAAAATTACTAAGCCTCCGGACTCATTTCCCTCCCACATGTACCCTGCTGACTTTTGCAACTCTCTCATGTCCTCTGTCACTAACAAAATTTCCAGTATCCACCAACAACTTAACCCTGTAAGAGCTGCTAACACTGAAGCGGACCCCCTGTTTTCCCCGCTGCCCTCCTGTCATTTACTCTCAAGTTTCACCCTTCCTTCCATATCTGATGTAACAAATATTATTCATAAGTCAAAATCATCCACCTGCCAGCTTGACCCTCTTCCTACAGTGTTAGTTAAAGCTTGTCTCCCCACATTGGTTCCTCTCATAACCACTATCATTCACTCTTCCCTTAATACTGGAATTGTTCCTTCATCTCTGAAAACAGCTTCTGTCACTCCAATTCTAAAGAAGCCTGGTTCAGATCCTAATAATTTTGATAACCTTCACCTATTATCTAATCTTCCTTTTATTTAAAAAAATCATTGAGAAAGTTGTTGCCTCTCAGCTCCACTCACTCCTCAATAAACATAATTTTTACGAACAGTTCCAGTCTGGTTTCCGCCCCCACCACAGTACTGAAACAGCTTTATTAAGAATCACCAATGACCTTTTGATGGCAGCTGATTCTGGTCTCCTCAACATTTTCATCCTCCTTGATCTCAGTGCAGCAATTGGCTCTATTTCTCATAATATCCTCTTGAACAGACTAGCATCCACTGGCATCAGTCATACTCCACTTGCTTGGTTTAATTCATATCTTTCAGGCCGCACTCAATTTATTCAATTTAAAACCCATTCCTCAAGTTTGTTTCCCGTTGCTGCAGGTGTGCCCCAGGGTTCTGTATTAGGGCACCTTTTATTTATTATTTATATGCTCCCTCTTGGCCACATATTCCGTAAACATAATGTCAAGGTTCACTGTTACGCAGATGACACCCAGCTCTACATTTCCTCAAAACCCAATTCATCTCTTCCACCTACCCCCCATCAGACTGTCTTATGGAAATTAGATCATGGTTTTCCTCACATTTTCTTAAACTCAACAGTAAGAAAACAGAAGTTTTACTTGTTGGCACAGTCTCCACTTTAACCAAATCGCAGAGTTTTTCCGTTAATATTGACAACTCCCATGTTCATCCTTCCCCTCAGGTAAAGAGTCTGGGTGTCATAATAGATAATACGCTTTCATTTCAATCTCATATTAATTCTATCACCCGGTCTGCATACTTTTATTTACGTTACATTAATCGACTTCATCCCTTTCTTACTCCTCACGCTGCTGCCATCCTTGTCCATAGCCTTATCACCTCCAGGATTGATTATTGCAACTCTCTTTTTTTTTGGTCTCCTGAATAAGACTCTCCATAAACTCAAACTCCTCCAGAACTCTGCAGCTCGGATCATAACTTGTACCTCATTCAGAGAACACATCACCCCGGTTCTGCAGCAGCTTCACTGGTTGCCCATAGAAGATAGAATAAATTTTAAAATCTTAACTCTCACGTTCAAGTGCATCCATAACCTTGCCCCTCCTTACCTGTGTGATCTGCTTCACATCTCCACTGCTTCCTGTTCCCTCAGATCCTCATCTGCCACTCATTTTATTGTTCCTTCTGCCCGTCTCGTCACCATGGGGAACAGAGCCTTCAGTCGCTGTGCTCCTCAGCTCTGGAACTCCCTCCCTCCTGTCATCAGGAACACAGACACAGACTCTTTCCTCTTTTAAATCACAACTGAAAACACACCTGTTCAAACAGGCATGTTCTCTTTCACTTGTTTTAAGTGTTGTTTTATCGTGACTTATTTTAATTATTTGTTGAATCTGTTTTTATTAATTGCTGATTTTAATTGTTTTTGTAAGGTGACCTTGGGTTTTTGAAAGGCGCCCTGAAATAAAATTTATTATTATTATTATTATATTAATATTATTATTATATTTGTATATTTGACATAATCTGTCTCGGTTGTAACTTTCATTTTAATTGACAGCTCCTGGTAATAAATAAATATAAAACCTGAAATAAGCAACAAATAAACCTGGACTTTTGTGGGGGGTTTCTTACAGTTTTGTGGGGGGGTTTTGTTGGTTGTTTGTTTTGTTTCGGGTTTTTTTTTTGTGTGTGTGTGATTTTTTTTTTTTTTATATTGCCGAGAGAAAAATGTTTTTCCTTTAATACATCTTTTGTCATGTTCACTTTAGTCTGACAAATATCAGCCACAGAGACATTGAGTGTATTTGTAGTTTTTAATACCAAGAAATCAGTCAGAAGAGCTAAGATGGTCGGATCCTCCTCTGTGCCCTCTCGATACAGGGGAACAGAATTTTGCACAACACCGGCTGTTTCTGCAGACAGTCTGCGTGCGCATCCACCGTGTTGGTAAACAAATGATTCCTGTATAGAGCTTTAGACTACAAGCATGTCTTCAAGACATAAAAACGTGGATGACCCTTAATTTTCTTCTGTTGAACACAGACAAGACTGAGGTTTTGGTTTTTAGAACTGAGCACCTTAGGAATGAATGTTTCAGTCTTTCTCCCTCCTTAGATGGCATTAATCTGTCCTCCAGCTCTAAAGTTAAAAATC